GAGAGAGAGAGAGAGAGAGAGAGAGAGAGAGAGAGAGAGAGAGAGAGAGAGAGAGAGAGAGAGAGTTTGTTTTTGGTGTGCTTTTTCTTAGTCAAAGCTGGAATTGAATCAGACATTTACGAGAAGATCAAAATCTGTCAGACAGGGGAAGCTTACGACATGGTTAAGTGATTTAAAGCATGGTTACCGTCTCTTACCTGAATAGAACACCCGGTTATTACACCTGCATTTGAAGCAACTTTCAGGCCAGATGCAGCAATACTGACGGGGCGTTCTATTAGGGTGAAGACGGTAGTGGTGAGTCGGATGACCCTGTGCTTGAACATTTCTCTTGGTTCCTTCTTTCAATATTTGGTCAGCAGACTCAGCACTGCAAGGTCGGGTTACGTCGCTATAAGCAAGAACACGTACTCACGTAGACACGATACCAATGAAACATTTTTCAACAAATCGACCCTTTTGCCAATCACTAGAATGCTGCCGATTCTCCTCCCTACTGTGTGTCTTATATTACAAGTCACATGCGCCTCCTTCAGATCTGCTATGCCAGCAGCGCTGCCCACTTCCCATGATCATCCAATCTTCTTGCAGATTTGACCATCCCCATTCCTTCGATCACCATCTCGTACTCCTGGCGTTTTCGTTTTTTTTCTGAGAGTTGTATGCTGGTGCCTTCCCTCTACTGTGTTGCCTGGTGCTCCACAGGGTTGCTGCCCGCTGCTATGTTCCGCTTGGGGACAGTCTGCCTTCAACAAGGGTCAAAGGGTTCATGACCCAAACCATCAAATATGGAGATTCCGCAGATTGTCGAGGGTTCAGCCTCCTGATGAGTCGGTGCAACTCCAACAAAACAATGTTGTTATCATCAGTTCTTTTTTTTTTTCTTTTTCGAGGAAATTGCTCCCGAGTCACACTTTAAGTTTGAAATAGGCAGGAAAAACCACTGCGTTGCAACTACAAATCTGAGGAGTTCAAAGAGGCAAAAGAAACCTGGACATGGCAGCCCCACAAGCGGTTAACGGGTAGCTGAAAATTTGGGAATGAAAATTCTGAAGTGAGAGTTTTGGGCAGTCTAAAAATCCCGAATGGTCCTGAAGTGGTGAAAGGTCCGAAGACCCTGAAAACCACCTGTTTAGGCAGGCTGCATCCTGAAGTGGTGAAGTGAGAGTTTTGGGCAGTCTGAAAATCCTGAATGGTCCTGAAGTGGTGAAAGCTCTGAAGACCCTGAAAACCACCTGTTTAGGCAGGCTGCATCCTGAAGTGGTGAAGGGTGTCCTGAAGTGGTGAAAGGTCCGAAGACCCTGAAAACCACCTTAGGCAGGCTGCATCCTGAAGTGGTGAACGGTGTCTTGAAGTGATGATGAAAAATACGACTGTTGCTAACCTTCTCTCGGCAGCCCTACCAGGAGTGTAGTTCGTTAGAGGCAAAAACAGCAGAAAAAGCGGGTGCCACACAACGACCTACCGGGACCTTTGTAGACCACCAGGACCTGTGGACAGAGTAGCACCTAGAAGGGCCAGGTCCCATCAGCAGCTTAGAGTTTCCTCAATGCCCGTATCTAGACGTGTTTGTGGACATGTGGTGTTGAGGAAATATAACGCCATTTCTACACATCTCCTCCAACAAGTCCAGATTTGGGCGTTGAGAAAACTCTACCCCGTTGGTGGGGCCCTGTGGAACCCACGTAGAGAGGGTGCAGGCTAATTTGAAACCGTGTCGGAATTCGTCCCGTGCGCACTTCGACAAACAGACACACTGGCTAATTTGAAACCGTAGTAGGTTTCCCGTGGCCGAATTCGTCTCGTGCGGACTTAGACACACACACACACACACAGAGTGCAATATTTGCACACTGAGTTGCCAGGTGGAATAACAGCCCTCGCTGTCGTAGAATTCCAGGTCCTGGATCTTTTTCCCGTTTTGATTTGGGGCTTTTGTCAGTTGATTGTGAAGGAGTCATTCCGCGTTTGACCGAGTCATTCTATATGCAACCTGAGACACGATCTTAAGCCGCCAGTACCTTTCTCATATATTGGCCGTGGTCCCGAAAGTGCACTGTGTGCCGCAGAAAAAATGCATATGCACATGGATGCACCTGCCCGCCGTCGCTAGCCATTTCGTGATGGCCAGGTACCTCCGTGCTAACTGCCACACTTTTGTTTTTCAAGCGCGGAAAGGTACCGGTGGTTTAAATTTGAACCCTGACCAACAATGTGCCTAGCTCAGTGGTACACCCACAAATTGTTGAAATACAGACGTGAGTCGGAATCAAGATGGCTTAAAGCACCAGTCCATGGGCACCAGGGCCGCGGGCCTGACACCTCGAATTCTGGAAGCCTGAAACGAAAACGCAACCGCCGATCCAATTTATCAATGGCAGGCCCAGCGTTTGAGGTTTCGGCCTCGTTTTCTTGTGGCGACAAGTTTCGAACTGCAAGGCTGGAGCCGTGTACTAGTGGCTTAACTGCAGCGTATCAACAAGATAGCTGGGAAACGGACTTCTGGCTCAGTGCCAGCTGGTGTTCGCATAGTGCCTTTATGCACGAACGTCTATGTGCAAACAGCTATGTGAAAACAGCTAGCTGGGATGGGTTGGCACCGTCTTTCCCAATTGATAATGGTGATATAGGAGCTAAGATAGATATTTCAGGAAAGGGATTATCCTTGGTTGACGAAGAGTTTGGAAATTTAAAGTAAATTTAGTAAAACCCATAGTTTGCCATGTGTCCAGGGTCCATGTCCCACTAGCCGGGGTTTAGTTTATGTTCCGTGTATCATTCAACGTGGTCACATGTTGGCCCTGCGATTTTCAGATCCGAGGGCAGTGAGCCATGTATACTTGAGAGTCGAAACCAGAACTAAACCTCGACAAGTGGGACATGGGCCCAGGATACTAACTGGTCGAAACTGGGTAATGGTCTCAGTACATTTCCTTTCTTTTCATTTCCGGGTTGTTTGTTGAGGGTTCCCAACGTCTACCGTTTGGTGTGCGTAATCAAATGAGCAGAGTTTTCTTGTAAAAATAAGAAGGAAAAGAAATTAACTGGTGTGAGAGTCAGTGAGACACTGAGAAGGGAATAACACCTGAACCAGAACTGGGAGTCTGGGACTGCATGGAGAGCTTTGCAGTGTGGCTTCTTAAGTTTTTATACAAATGGTTCTTCAATAATTTATTAATTTGGTATATGCAATATTATGCATGGTATTGCATACGTTGCTGTGAGATGTTTTTTCTTTTTTTCTCGGGAATCCACCAGGCATACTTCTCGAGTACTTTTCTTTGGGATTATTCGTCGTAAATCTGGTATATGCCCTCGAAAAAGACTGGTGGTGAGAATATTGTTTTCAGATTTCCTCTCCTACGCTGCTTACTGGGTGGGGTAGACATCTTCCGGTGCTGTTAGTGCCTTCAAATGTCTGATTGGCCTGTTGGTGGTTTTTACTATTTAGGAGTGATCTCCCAATTGAATCGCTTGGGGTTCAAGACAAGGGGGGGGGGGAACAAAAAACAGTTATGTAGAAACAGTTATGTGAAAACAGGTATTCGGAAAGAGCGATACGCTGGACCCGGTTTCCAGCAGGTGCTGTTCCCCACCAATAGATGGAGCAGCCCGGTAGCCAAGACCTCAATCCCGGCGGTTCTCTTACCACCACCAGGATAGTGGAGTTGTGAAAGGGCTTTCAAACACACACAAAAAAAAAAAAGAAAGCACTGGTGTGAAATCAGTGATTACCTGGTGCCCTGTGTAGCCTGGCACTTGTCCCCGAGTGTCAAGCGCCACCTCTGGGAGCTCTTCTGGGAAAATTCTCCGTGTTTGGATGCTACGGTCCTTGAACGATTGCTCGGGAAGGGATGCCGACTTCATCTGCAGCAGCTGCACAGGACCCGTTCCTGGCCCGCCGACCACCGTGCTGCAATCTCCCAGGGGTCGCAGTCCAACAAGAAAAGAAAAGGAAAGAAAAAAAACAAAGGAAAAGAAGGGCTGGGTGTCAGGATAAACTTGAGACACAAAAGAAAACGTTGTTCAGATAGGTGATTGGACAGTTGTGCACGAACGTGAAGACCTTTGGTAGGAGGCACAGAGGGGATGGAATTGTCTTTTTTTTTTTTTTTTTTTTTTTTTTTTTGAGCTACCGGGATGGAATTGTCAATGGTGAAAAAACTGGAAAGTTCAGAAAAGTTTGAAAAACTTATTAAAGGGAAAAAAAAAAAAGCTTCCTTGCAGGACAGCTATGGCTGCCTCGTCTCCTTCTTTCCCTCAGTCAAATAGCACTGTCCTCCTTGCCCACGAATGCCCTCCAGCTTCAACACTCCAGAATGACGATTCAGCTTCCACACAAGACTTTTGTTACTTGGCCTTGGGTACTGGTACCGTTCTGACCTGGCCTGGGTTGTGTTGTGCGACCTGCTGGACGCCCTACCTCCATTGACAGACCATGAATGGTAGGTACTAAGGGTTTTGTTATGAGTTTGTGCAGGTGCAGGTCGTGGGATCAAGACTCAACAAGCACAAGATGTCTAATCTCTATAGAACAATCCCAGGTAAGGTTCCAGGTTCAAATCCCGGCATGCTCAATCAAGGGGACCGACATTCTATTCTAATGATCTAATCTAATTTAATTAGATTAGAGACGTTGTACAAGCGCTTTGTTGCTTGCCTCTCTACTCTACTTGTGAAGCAGCCCGCGACCTCTTTCGGGCCCATCAACAAAACGAGAACATACAATACAAAATGAAAAACGAATGGTTATTTCAGATTGCTTATATGGACGCTGCAGAGCCTTGGCAATACGGATTTCAAGATGCAGCCACTCCTATGATGCAAGGAATTATTAGGCAGGTGAGTATCTGGGATCAAATCCCAGCAGGCAAATGAACGTGAATCCTTTCACTCCCGCCGGACCATTTCGAGCATCGTGCAGAAACAGAGAACAATCTGATATGTGTTGCAGTTTACTACTTACTCTGCATTATGCGCTATTCTGATTCCCTTTTTCGCTTTTCGTACCCTGTGAGTCGTGACTATTCTGGGCGCTGTATCTTCCAGTGCTTTCTTGCTGAACCATTTATCTTCTTGTGGAGACTTTTGATAGAAGAACTTTACCCTACACTGTTTCATTGGTCTACCCCTTCGCCCTCTGAGTTCCGCTTGTTCTTGTATTCTTTCAATATCATATCTCCCATTTATATCAGGTGGTATCCAAGAAGGTCTTGAAGGGAAACAGACTTTCGTCAGCATATGGCATTAGCTTTGAGGCATGAAACACTGGGTAAGTTTCAAGTGGTCAGGGACTCCAACGACTTCCAATACTTCCCACGGGCCTAAGTATGAGGCAACAACTTCTGTGAAATGCCTTCTTCAGGGTTCTTTGGAGCTTACCCGTACGAGATCACCCTCTTTAAATTCTTCTGGCCTCCGGTGTTTGTTCGTAGATTCGATCATTTTTTGTTGTTCATGCCGGATTTAAAGTTATTTTCTTTGTCACCTTCCTTAAGTTCTTCTCGTATATCAATGCAAATTCTCTTGTCCCAAGCGGCAAGCAGTGGATCTGATCAGTATCAAGCACGCCGATGGGCCTGCGTGCGGCTGCCAAACTCTATGAAGCTCGTTCGGAGTCTTTCCAGTGGTTAAGTGGACTGAATTATTATACACTGAAGTGACTTTGGGCAGGAGCTCATCCCAGTCTACCTGATCTGGTCTAATATACATCCGGAGAGTTTGCTGCAAAAGTTTATGCATCTGTTCTGCCTGAAACAAGCATCTGTTCTGCCTGGCCGCTTGTTTCAGAGTGTTTACCTTATGACATGGTCAGCCTAGTTCCATACAGGTTCTGCAACTTTTCCCAATGCTCTCCAGTGAATCTAACGTCTCTGTCACTAACTATTGTACAAGGATGCCAATTGCCTGGTACCCCAACAATCGAAGAACTTCCTAATGACAAATTCTGACTTAGCTTATGAGAGTTGGGGAATGAACATGGCATACTTACTAAATCTATTAACAATAGTCATCACTAATCTTAGTAATCTATTAACAACAGTCATTGCTTGTGAATTCCCACTTTGAGTCTTCACATGCATATCCATAAAATCAATAGAGTTGGACTCTCCAGGACCCGAAGGAATAGGCGGTGGCTTTAGTAGCCCCAGGGGAGCTTGGGTGCTAGACTTGTTCCTTTGACAAACTTCACAGGTCCTGACATAGTCTATAAACTCTATACAGTCAGATTTCATCCCTTCCCACGTAAATTTTCTCACTAGCAACTAGTAGCAATGTCTTTTTCCACCCAATATGCATTCCTTGTTGACTTGCCGGGGGAAAGGAACCGGACTGTTGCTCCCCAGAATGGTAGGAGCCAGAGCCATGAAGCTCTGAAAAAAAAAAAAAAAAAAAAAAAAAAAAAAAGGTCTTTTTCCACCCAAAGTGTCCCTGCAGATCGTGACGATACTTGAAAATCAGACTTTTTACAGGTTCTGCATCAGGACCACACACTCTTTCTCTGCCTTTGGATATGAAAAACAGTAAACCATCAGTCACTCGATATCCGGGTACCTCTGCAGGATCAGTACTGCATTTCCGTATCACTTCAGTCAGTGCAGGATCAGATTTATAAGCTTCCTTGATCTTCTCTCTGATATCATCTGCCAAATCCAACCCTATGAAGACTGCAGCGAAGTGATCACCCCTCCTACTCAGCGCATTAGTGACCTTATTGTACTTCCCTTTAACAGTCTTCGATCACCCCAGGTTGTTGTAGAAGCCGGACTCCGCACACACGGGGTTACTGCCACGGCTATTGGCTGTCCTGACACTCCGTTATGCTCCGTAAGACCACCTCCCCAACCATCCTCTTGGCAATTCTCCTAGCGCACCCCTATCCCCACTATCCTACCTCAGTGTTGAGTACTCAGGACCATCACCATGCTATTTCAGAGGGCGACTTGGACCTGACAGTAGTTCTAGGCACCGGGGCTAGGCAGGGCCAAACACGAAGCCTTGAAAGCCCCACCCAGCCCCAGTTGAGGCACAGTCAAGCAAGCCACATTACTTGGGTACATTGGGCGCTGCACCAGGCTCAAGCATTATGTCTACTTCACCTATCAACCCCCATTCTGGCATGTTATTTCTCCTTTTTTGTACAGATGTCAGATACCGAGGCCGCGAAGCCTTGAAAGCCGCAGCCAGCTCCAGTCATGTGTGTGTGCTATCTGTGTGCTATCTATGTGTCCATGGTACCAAGGCCAGGCAAGGACAAGCGTGAAGCCTTGAGAAACCCTGCCCGCCCCAGTCGTGTATCTGTATATGTATATGCCATGGTTCCATATACTGAGGCTGGACACAGGCAAGCGTGAAGCCATGAAAACCCCTGCCAGCCCCAGTTGTAGTGTGGACCCCCACCAAGCCCCAGATGAGTTCCATATGCATAGAGTTGTACTGTCATGTGAATGGCGGGCCTATCTGCGCAAGAACCCCCCCAAAAGTCTCTAGCCAGACTCGAACCTATGTCCTTTGTTATGTAAAACCAGTGCCCTACCATATGTGCTACGCTGTGAATTGACGACAATGTATGATATGCCAGAACAGGGAAGAATATCAGAACAATCAATGACCACATCAAGCAACCCAGGCATAGTCAAGACCCAGACTACATACAACAACCTATACTCAGTCCCCTCAGCGATGCAGGCAGGGTCTGTATTCATAACCACGCAGCAGTGTACAGCCACGCGGTGGTCAATGCCCGCTGGCAGAAGTGCACGAGGCTGCAATCGAGTTTTGAATCCGCAACCTCATACCACAATGCACATTTCCAACCGGTGCTCTACCCACTGAGCTACTCGGCTGTACAGCCTAGTCGCAGATAATTAGGACCACTTAATCTCGGATTGGGGTTGGAACGTGAGGTAAGTGGGGTAGCGAGGTAAGTGTGAGCTGCCCCCACCAAGTCCAGGGCTTGTAGGGTAGAGATATGACCTGGCTAGGTTGATGGAGTGGATGAATGGGGCGGCAAGACACTCGAGGTGACTGATGGGAGTGATACGGGAGAGGAGCGAGTGAGAGGCAGTCACACCTGGACTCTAAGCCTGAGGGAGACATTGAGCGACCTTTGGGATTCTCTTCAAGATCACACCTGGATGGCAGTTCGTTTTTTTCTTGGGCCTTAGCGGGAAATCCGCCTAGGCAACAAGAGGCTCCGACGTAGTGGTGGTTCACACCACCAGTCCATCGTCCATTACTGTTCATCTATTTTCGTATATGAGTACTGACCCAGTGCCCAATACAACAATTCAAAGTAATACGTCATTTCTTCAGGAACAGTCAGGTTTCTGCGATGCACTCGATGCACAGAGCCCCGTCCATGTAAGCCAGTTTTGATGTTTGATTTCGAGGCCATAACACAACAGGAGTGATGGCTCAGTGGTAGAGCAATTGACTGCAGATCAATAGGTCCCCGGTTCGAACCCGGGTCACTCCTAAAATCCATTTTGAGCCTTGAGGGCCATTCCTCAACAATATCCTTCATCAATGCCCGTCTCTGCATATATTTCCTGATTAGGTAGACAGTGTCTGTGGCAAACCGCTATTTCCATCCAATCCAAACTCAGAACACCATGTGTAAGGGGGGCATCCATGGAAGTTGAACAGGTATCAGCAAGGTCATACTGAAAACGTGTCGGGT